AGTTCTCCCTTCCCCTTTCCCCCAAAACCTGTGCCAGGACAGCCCGGGGCCAGGACGGGAGCCGGGGCAGGTGCCACCAGCCTGCAGCGAGAGGGAAGGACTCCCCGCGCTCCACCTCTTACTGGGAAGAGGGGAAGAAACACGGACCAGCCAATGCACTTTGCTCATCTCCCTCCCAACACAGCTCGGGTGCCCTTTTCTAAGCACCTGATGTTGCTTGTTCAGTGGAAGGACGATGCCGAGTCCCCTGATGGGGATGGTGGGTGGCAGGGAGACCACAACCGCTTACCTGGGTGGGAAAGGCTCTGGAGGGAAGCGAGGGCTAGTTTTGGGTAGGGAGCCGTGACCTAAAGCCTTTCCTGAAGGGAATCCTTCCCTCAAAAGGGGCCCTGAAGACAACAGCCAAGCTGGCTTCCCCAGAAATTGTCTCCACAGAGAGGAGTTTGGGAGAGAGAAGGGTTTCAGACGATGCGCTATATACCGATGAGCTGCTTGTGACGTTTTCTCCAGCTGAAAGTTGGGCAGCAAAGCCAAGGCACTGAGGGAAGAGCAGAGCCAGCAAGCACCACCGGAGCGGAAGGCTGGCACACGGGAAGCCAGCGGTGGCTGGATACGCAGACGTTTGTCTATAAATGAAGCATTTCCTTCTCAACCAGGCTAGGAACTGAGATACATCATCAAAATTCAGACAGAAAGACTGGAGCAAGGCCCCATTTGTTTACACCTCCCGTACACATCCTCCTCACCCTCCTCTGAGCTGCTTCCAGGGCTTTTTGGCTCCAGTTAAGGGGAAGAGGCCCCAAAGATGGTGGAACACCATCTGGAGAAGCATCATACAGAAGAATCTGTACTACAGCCTAGGTAACCTGCGCCGTAATACTTCATTAGCGAGAACTTGCTGCTAGAGAGGCCAAAGGGTGTCAAGTATAAAGACTCTCCACGACTGCCACAGGACTGATGACCTGCCCGCTCGTCCCAGGGATGAACACAGCTCTCGGGACCAAGGCCGCCCGCAGTCAGGTATTCTCTACTCTCCAACTCCGTGTCCAATTCCAACTACACGTCTCCAACCCGGCTACACCGAGCTTACTCTTTGCCGTACCACGAGCATCGGAAAAAGCCCATTAACACCTTCCACGGCAGGAACCACTCCCTTCTGCTCTCCCCCCGCATCCCAGGCACATCCCAGAGGGAACTCGGGAGCGGTGCATGGGGCTTTTGGAGAGAGGAGGGATTCTCCCTCTGCCTCCTCCTGCCCGCAGCCATAGTCAGGAGCAAATCCCAGATCCTGCCAGTGGGGGACAAGGAATGCAGACTGCATCCATTGCGCTCTCCCAAGTCATTGCATTATTTATGCTTGCCCCTAAGTCTTGCTGTTCAGGCTGTATTCTAAAGCAATTCTGTTAACGATTTGCTTAATGTTCTCACTATACACAGTTGTCCCGATTCATTCTTGTCAGAGGAACATGTCCTCCTTAATCCATTTTAAAGGAAATAAACCACAAAGACTAGTTAAGTTCCCCTAAGGCTCATGCTAGTCCAACACATTAAGGCTAGAAAGGAGGAGAACATATTGAAAAAGAAATAGCAGGCAATTTTTCATGCAGTTATTTTACAAACTGCATGCCTCCTGTGAATAGGGAGGTTGTAGCCAAAGCTGGGTGCCCCCAAGAAATATTTCTCCCCCAATCGCTGCAATACTTGGCAAGTGAGATGACTCGCTACGGATGGGGAAAAGCAACGGAGCCAAGAATTCTTCAGCCAGGGTGGACCCTACTGCGGTCAGATCAGTCGCTCCAGCACGGTGCTGAGACACGTCCGCTCCCACCTCCCTGCAGGTGACCACGGCTGAGCCACCCTTGCTTTGGGAGATGGAGGCCATCACCAAGACATCGGTTGGGGACTTCTCCCATTTGCTACATAGGCTGAAACTTCATTACCCTCTTTGGTTTTGAAAGAAAAAACAAACCCAACAAAACCCACACTCTGAAAAGAAAACCAGTTTTTAAAAGACCCAACACAACCAAGCAGAAGCCAAGGCGTGACACAAAAGAGCAATTAGCGCTTCAGCCTCTTCCTCAGCTCGAGCACATCTTATAGCTTTAGGTCTCCCCAGTTGAGGGGAGGTAACGGGAGAGAGTTGCTCAAGAAGCCAAAAGAAACAATAGCGTCCCAGCTCTTCTGTTAGTCACCAGAAATCGAGTTATGACTAGACTCAGCAGGGCTCGGAGAAAAGAAAAAGTGGTGACTTCATGCTGGACCAGACCTTTTAAATACAACTTTTTTTTTTTTTTTCTGCTAGAGACTCCATCACCACTTATTAAAGCATTTTAGGTAGAAGGGTGCCCAAAGGAAAGGCGTGGGGGAAGGAAGGATAAAAACCACATCTAAAAGCAGGGCAGTTGCTATTAAAACAGAAAAAAAAAAATTCCTGTTTGAATATTTTATTCTTAAACATGACAAACTTCTTCAGAGTGTTTTCACAAGTACTTGTGTCTGCTCTACGTGGCTCGGTGAAGCCTGTAGAAATGTGTTCTGATTTGCAAAATATTAATTAAAAAGACCAAATAAAAAAACCAAAACCCCCAAACCCCAACAAAACACAAATTGCTGTAACAGCAGCAGTACTTTAAGGCAGCCCCCGTTTGGGCAAGGTATACCTCTGGGGTAATGGCAGGAGCTGAAAGTAGCAGAGGCGCTGGAACCGGTAATCGGCATTTTCTTTGGGACTTTGTGATTTCTGGAATGTGGAGGCAGTCTCCTATCTGCTAAGCCTGCTCTATTAAGTATTCCTCTTCCTCTCGCACTTACTGCTTTTGCAGCCCGCTTCCAAGCTCTAGGCAGAGGCACTTCGCCTTCTTTGCTCGCGCTCCTGAGGATGAATGTAAACACCACCGACCCTGCCTTACTCACCTCCCTTCGCACCCCGTGGCCGCTCCAGTTCGAACTGGGAAGGCGGAAAACCAGAAACCCCCTTTCTTGCTTTCGTTAGCGTGCAGAAGCAGGAGCGCCTGGATAGGACAATGTGGACATTAGTCTGTCTTCTCCCACTACCGCCTGGGATGCTCTTGCTAGTGCAACATAAAAGCAGAGACTCACACCACTCTCAACAAGCCTCGTGTGAAGATCACAGAGCAGAATATCAGTGCAGTAATACTTGAAATACTGAGACAAGGCAGACACAACAGCCTTTCTTCCTCACAACGCTTTTTCAGCTAGCTTTTTGATCCAAGTCTCCATGTAAGTCACAGAAGACAACTGTGCTTCCTGCATTCACATATAGGAATAAATAGCTCTGGATCAGTTTTCTTTATGGCCGGATTACAGAACCCCCTGAAATACTGATACGCTTATGAACAGCAGCACTGTGCAGTTCTGTGAGTATCCTTGGACATGCCAAGTTCATCTAGGATGCTGGTGCATCTCCTAGGCGTATGGCCCCAAAGAAAGTTGTGTGCTTGCTCATGTTGATGGAGATGTCAGCATGGACCATTTTCACAGCGATCTTCTGCCTGGCTTTGAGGAGGCAGACCCCAGCTGTATAGCAGGTATTGAAGTTGGTCTTGCCGGTCTCAATACTCCGAGTGCATTGCAGAAAGGGCTTTTCATCCACCACCACCTCATAGCTGGCAAAATCTGTGAAGTTGATGTAGTATACCTGATGTGAAGCAGGAAGAAGAAAGGTATTAGGCAGCGTATTTGTGCACAGGGGACAAGTCCGCGTTCCTTTCAGTATGTACACATATGTTCTCTCCGCTAACGATCCCTTCCTTGCCCCCGGGACACCTTTACTCATGGGAGGTTGGCTTGTTCGAGGCAGAAAGAACCCCAAGCCAACCAAACTCAAGGAAACTCTCTATTCCACTTCATACTAACGTGAGCATGCAAGCACCCGTGAATCCAGGTACCTAAGGCTGAGCTACGAATCCTCGCTTCAGACCCTGTTTATTACAGGAAAAATTACAAACCTGCACAAGCCTAGTTACAAAAATGTGTGGACAACCCTAGCTGGAACAAACGGCTTTTCCTCCAACAAACAAACAGAAATATTTTAACTGAAGTCCTCGTTCACTTACCTGGCCAGTCCTGCTTTCTGGGTCCCATGAGCCTCCTTTAGTGTTGACATCAAAAATGCCCTAAGATGTACTGGGAGTTGCTGCCTTTGTAATTGGACTCGGGGTGCTTTCAAAGGCATAAGCTCTTACAGGGAAGACACTCTCCCAACCTCCACAGCTCGCAAGCAAATGACCTGATTGTCTTTCTACTGATTTGACTCTTCAATCTAGCACCTAAGTCCCCACGACTCCAGCACTCGTTACTTAACCGTCTCCTACAGATTGATTTTGTGTAAGACCTGGCCAAGGAGAAGTCAGTCCCAGGGACCTGCTTCTTCCCAGTAGAAGAACACCAGCCATTTTGGATGCATCTGCCAATTCTGCTGAGCCTCCACCCTGCGACCACAGAAGCTACGCAAGACTGAGTCCCCTTGTTCCCTGATGGACTACAAACGACAAAGGCTTCACAGGCACAACGTTGTGGCCAGCAATTAGCGTTAAGCACTCGGGAAATAATTATACTCCGGCCCACGTAAAGTTGTTTTTCCTGTCCCCATCCAAGCCAGACATGTAACCAGTTCCACGGAAGAGCACCTAACCTGACACCCACGGCCCGCTTTATCTGACTCGGTACAGTCCCGGTGGGGCTGCCAAGCGAGCAGAGGCAAATCAGGACCAGGAGGTGGTATGAGAAGCCTGGAGCAAGGTGGAAGTTGCTTAATTGTGGTTGTCACACAGAAACCCTCTTGTCTTGCTAAAATCTGTCCCAGATCCTGGACAGTTTTTCAGTGCACAGGTGGTTGACACCCGGCGTGCTCTGGAAGGGGAGAGCTTCGTGGCTCGTACTCCACGCAGCTCAGCAATTCTGTTCAGAGATTTGCAAGGCACTGGGAGCAGGGCGCTCAATGACAGACCATCTCCTGTATCTTATTTGAATGGGGAGAGGAAATGATGTCTTAATTAGCTGTATGCTTAATCATAATACAATAATTTATTACTTTGTTTAGCCCTTTTTACAGAAGCAGGTCCGTACATCCATCGTCGGTACTAACTAAAGCAGCAGCTGAGCCATCCTGCTGCACGATGCGGCCACATCGTGTCGGTCTGAAGCTATGCGAAGAAGGTGGAGGCAAAATGGAGTTACCTGGGCCGGAGTTTGGCCAAGCCACCCGGGCTGAGAGTCCTACGCTTACAAAGAGTGACACGGCTTCAAAATGACCATGAGTTGTCAGGGTTTCGGTCTTTTAAAGCAGAGAGCCTAGCGTCCTGCTGGGCCCCTTGTTCTGCAAGGAGGTTTAGATGGGCGGGTGAACGACCGCACAGACAGCATGGAGGATTACAAAAAAAGGCATTGGTGGCATGCGGGATCTGGCTGGGCGTCCACGCGCGCGTGTTTCGGAAACTAATCTCTTGCAGCCGGTGTCACGGCGAAACGTGTGACCTTGCACTTTGAAACTCTAACGTCTTCCTCCGACACACATCTCCTAGAGCACGAAGCGGTTAAAAGTACATACAAGTTCTTGGCATTTGGTAGTGGTCTGGAGCCCTCTCGTGGTTCATGCAAGGCTTCCATTGGAACACAAGAATAGGAGTTAGGCCTAGGACCGTACTCACTTCTACCTGACTATAGATGAAGTATGTGCCGTCCACCAGTACCTCCAGCTCCCCACTGCGGGCATGCAGCTTAAACACCTTGGGGTTCATAGTGATGCGAGACCAGTCATTGAGGACTCCACCTGAAAGATCTCAGTATGAGAAAACGGCAGTCACTCAGTACCCGTCAGAATGAAAAGCGCAGGAGCACAGAAATACAGTGACATTGCAAGGTTTCATACACAACGCCTGGCACAGACTCAAGTTGAAAAGTCAAGTAACTTGGTAAGAAAATCCCAGAATTAAAGACTATGGTGTGCTAGTTTGGATGCCTCTCCATAGCTACTTGCTGGTGGACACCTGTTTTGTTCAGTGCACAGCACAACTGATTTACATCTCTGCTCGTCCTCGTCAAGAGTAGCTCTCCTCATCCTTGAAAATCGGCGTACGGCCTTTTGTTCTACACTAGGTTCATCCCCAGGGTTGGATACAGACTCACTTGCCTCCTCCTGACACTAAGCTGAGCTTGTTATCACATTTGAGTGTTTTACAGGCCTGAAAACACGTTCCCAGCATCATCCCCACTCCAGAGCAAAGACACTCCAGTCCATGCAAATCAATGCCAGTACTGTAAGCTATTTGCTAAGTTTTCTTAATTCACCTGAGAGGCCAGGGGCTGATTTTTCAGACTATTTTTGTACGTTCAGCCACAGATCCCAGACGACTGATCGCAGCTGTGATGGTAACAGCACTTCTTCAGGTGCCTCCTGAAGAGCATCTGTTCCTGGCCCTTGTAAAAGCTTTGTTACTGGCAACCTCCCCGGTATCATGGAAGAAACTCTGCAGCAGAGGTAGCACCAGGATCCCATTCTCCAAGAAAGATCCCCAACTGACATCACCCAGCCCTGAGACCATTAAATCTCTTCCTCTACTTTCCACCTCTTTTATTCCCCTCCCCACAACTCTCTACCCAGCCTCTACACTAAACAAAGCAGAGCTTCAACAGACGATGTGCTGAAGACTACGTCAACAGGTACGTCCTTGAGGACCACAGCAAGGCTAGGATGACAAAAGCCTTGGGATCATCCCTAGAAGAGAACTAGTCCTTGCAGCAAAAGAGACAGCAGTAATATGGAAAAAATCATGTGCAGCTACAGGGCTACACCGTCTCTGAGGACACATCTGTGCATGGAGGCCAACTGAGGGTTACCAAATCAATTTTAATTCTGGTATTCCTTGACTTCAACATTCTTGACTTTGTAACTAGCATTATTTTAACAAATGCTTTGTCATTACATTTCCTAGGTTTTTAAAAGCCAAAATAACAACAAAGTATGAAATTGCATCATGTCACATCGCATTAACCCCTACCGGGGGTCCTCAACACGGTCAGGGATTTATAGATCCACCACCCAGCCCTCCGGCACCGGAGCCAGTGGAATAACTGACACCGTGAGCAGAGCTGTTCTCTGGACGGGCCAACGAGCAGGTCCAGAGGACAGGCTTCGCCACCAGCCCAGGGCAGAGCCATCCTCTGTAGGTGCCTTGTTTGATCCAACACAGCCCTTCTCCTCCCAGTCTCCATCCGCTTTTCAGCTCCCTGCCCCCAGTTGCAACCCAGCCAGGCTGTTCTCCGCCGGCTGTCAGCTGGCCAGCATTAATGGCTCACGGCCTCAGATTGTTCCCGAGCAGCAGGGAAGTACACTTACAGGGCACTTCCCACTCTCGGAGAGTAGCGTACGCTCTGTAAACATACAGGCTTCCCATTAATAAAGGGATAATTACGTTTTGAACGTAAGCAAACCAGCTGCTTTTCCCTCGTGTTGTTCTTGGGAACGGCTGGTTTCCTTTTTGTTTCGGGGCGCTTTCCCCCACCCCTCCGTACGCGTACTTCCCTAACCATGAGACATTTCAGCTCCCACAGCTCACGTCTGCTGAAAGAGAGAAATGGCCTTTCAACAGAAGCGGTGGCCAGCCCTCATCATCCCACGCGTGGGGTAGAAGTTGGCGGACAGGGGTCCTACAGCCCTGTCCCTGCTGCATCAACCCCCGAGAGCTGCAGCCCCCCAGGTCCGGGATGGGGGTACGGGCACCGGGGCTGCTGCCCACATTCCCCGGGGAGCTGCACGTGGTGATTTCGGCAGGGGACAACACCGCCAGCTCCTCTCCGGCATAGCCAGACATCGTGAGCAGGGAGGCAAGCAGCTAATGAATGAGACCCAGCTGTTGGCAAGAAGAGCAGGAACTCGAGCAGAAATTGGATAGGGATCCCGGGAGGAAGGAGGAGAGCAAAGAGCTGCCTGTGGATGTGAAAAGGCTCGGCAGGACTCGAGCTTAAAGGTTTAAAGGCTGTCGGTGGGGGTAGAGATGCACAAGGGACCGCGGCGTAACGCAGGAGGCGGC